CGACAAATCGTCGCGTTCCCGTTACATTTCGCTCGGCATTTGCAAAGGTTATACGCGGCAACCGTCTTGTCAAGTTGATCTCCTTCCTTGCAAAATCCAAAGTGTTTCCAGAGCGACAGATGCATTGCTTCATCTTAAAACGTTCTCCTCGCCATGATCTGGGCTGATCTATTGTAATCGATGTCGCATGCATGCCGACCGGGGATGACGTACACCGGCGAAAAATAAACACAAGCTTCATGAAATAAATTTACATTCGAACCTGAATAAAAAAAAAATAAAAGGGCATTGGGAATTTTGAAAATATAATTACTTCTAGACCGACTCTCTTCTTCAGGGACACCGGGTGGAGCTGATCCCGGACAAATGCCGACAACGTCCTGGACTAACCAGCTGTCTGTTAGCAATGACCCAAGCGGACATGGTTTTCATGAAGATAATTTTGAGTCGTCAATTAACGTAACTTGTGCTTTTTTGGAGATGTCGTAAAAATCACGTTTTTTTTTGGTCAACATTTAGGACACTTTACAGACTGGAATGACCCTAATGTAGATGTTTACAATACTTAAATATTGAAGGTATTTCAAGTTTCAATCAACACTAAAAAAGCATGTTTTTGCAAACACTCATGAGAGTTTATAGACTTCAATTGTAACATTTGTTTAAAAAAAAAAAGTATAAAGCAGTCATGAATGGACTTAAGATCCATGTTTTTTTTCATGAAAACAAAAATTGAAGACAATTCAGAATTTAGCCAGGCAATTTGGAATCAGTGAAAACAAAGACAATTTAAAGTTCTTGTTGAGCTGATGTCTTTGGAACAGATTAAGGGCCAAAAAGGACACAGAAGTGTCGATGTTCTACATGTGTGTGTGTAAGCGTTTTATTTTAGTTTCAGTTTCTGCAGTCTGCCCCTTTAGCCAAGGAGTAACTCAGGTCATCAACATACGCTAAGTGGAGATGAGAAGCCTTCCCCTCGGCAGACTAAAACACGACACAACTGCATACTGTGAGTTATGTGACTGAAATGTTCTCGCGGTTTCTCATGCCAGTCTCACTTTGCCACCTTCAACTCAACTCTGCCCCCACCTCCCCCACAGGACGAAGTGAGAAAGGCAGGCGACAGGATCCGGAAGACAGAGAGATGACTGGCATTCTCTCGCCACAAGCATGGTCATCACATCTAATGGGCTTTTTGCTCGATAATCCAATTAACCAGATGGAATAGTGAGTAAATGACTTGTTATCCAAAAAAAAAAAAAAAGTGACTAACACTACTTGACAGGCTTGCCAAAAAAAAAAAAAAAACACAGGTAGGATTTAAGGTTAGGTTTTTACAGTATACTGCACAAGAAAATCTGGATTTCGAGCTGTGCATATTCAGGGTACTACCACGTTATGCCACAACATGCCGGGCAGCATTGAGCTCAAAGGAAAGAGATGCAACCTAATTAACAGCAAGAAGCGGCGGCAGAGAAGACAACCCCCACCGCCAAACAACGCTCCAATAATAGTTGTCATTCCCACAGAGCAGAGAAAATTTGTCTGCGAGTGTTGCTGGCATGTTTGTGTGTGTTGCTGCTCTGTAAGCGCTCGGGTAGCAGCTGTTTGAAGATTTATAAGCATGAACTTATCCCCGGTGATCAACGGGTTCACCGTAACCCACAATTGCTCTAAATGCATCGTAAAGATCAACATTTCCCCGCCCCTGCTCTTTACACTGCCACTTGTGACATAGTCTAATCATTACACGGAGCGTCCTTCATCCGAAGAAGCAGACTTTGGCCCAGACGCAGGACTCCTCCAAGTCCAGTCGTACAAGTTGTCAGCCAAGTATGCAGCAGAGATATTACTTCACTCGAACCACTTCCAGTTATTCAAATGAAGCCTGGCACGTAACAACAATGAAGTGTTGCATGTTGGCTCACTGTTTTAGAGAAAGCTGTTTGAGCATTTATTCTGTAGCCTCTCCTTGATATCCGGCTTCAGGGCCATGTACTATACTAGTGCATCCTAGTCGTTCTACAGGGTTAAATGACTATGAGATACTTGCTATCCCGTTTAAGTTCCATGTACTAGTAGTATGATTTATGTACTCTTTGACAAATGTGACATACAAGACGGACAATTACAGGTTACTCGTTGTGCATAACTGCCTGGTACTACTACTACTACTACCAGCAACAACAAAATTCTACCAGTAAAATCCAGCAGTTAATTAGTTTCGCTCAGTTGTAAACCAATGAACGGTTTTGCCAAACCAGAAACATGTCCCAATAGTAAATCAAATGTCTCTGACAATCGGGGGAAAATACTAGTTCAACGCAAGTACATGGAGTCGATCTACTAGTGGGGAATTGTCTTCTGAAAACAAAGAGCGTACTACTAGTACGTGGACCTTGAGCTGAATGCGGGTATCCAGGAACCTGTCAATCCGTGCACTGGACTCCCAAAAATCACTCACGCAACTTGACACAGGTGGGAGCACCCATTGATAAACCTCAAAGCACGTACTGAATGGATAAAACGTCGATTTAAATGGGTCTACACACTCCCCCCCAGCTTACCGAGCAGCAACAGTTTGAGCTCCCGCCGCGCGTCCCTCTTGTCCCGGCGGAGCTGCCTCTCGATCTCGTCGTTGATCCTCCGGGCTTCCTTCGCCTCCTCGCTGAGGCAACACGCCATGATGGATTCCAGGGTCATTCTTAATCACTTGTCTTGTTTTTATTCGCGACGGTCAACGAGCCTCACTGATTTGATCCCGAAGAGGCCGGTGCGAGGGCTGCGAGCAGGCCGTGGAAGGGGGCTCATGCAGCGGCCTGCAAATGACGGAGCTGCCGGAGGAGGGGAAAATTTGGATATTTGAGAAATGAACGAAATGTTGTTGTTCTCTTTCTTCCCCCACCTCCGCCAACACCTCAGACTCTTCTTCCTCACAATACAGTCCACTCGGGTGCTATCGTAATTGGTGTAATCTGCTTTGCCGTCTCCGGGTGGTCAACAGATCCGTTTACGACACATCCCGAGCGGGATCTCGTTAAGCGTCGCCACCCGCACCACCGATACCTCCTTTCCCCACCCCCGCCACTCCTTCCGTTAAAAAAAATGCCCAGTCTTCAACTGCGTGGGCACCGGGAGACACGCACGGACATCGCCACTGCCGTGCCGCAATTTCGCCTTTCCTTCCCTTCTTCTTTTTCCCAGTGGCTCCACTCCCCGGGCGTGGTAAAGCAAAAATATGGCGGACTTTCACTTCCAATCCGCTAGGCGAAAAAAAGGATAAGACCACACTGTTCCCTCGTTCACAAACGCCCCACAACGACACCGAATGTCGGTGAAAGCTCGTCGTAAAGCCTAGCGGCCTCCATGGCTGCGACAAGGTGGGGGTGAAGACGACGGCGAGCAGAGTTTGGTCCCCTCCTTTTTTTTCTTTCCCCTCCACGGTTGTCTTCGCGTGTTTTTATGACACAGGCCGTCTGTGGTCCACTCCTCCTCGGCTGTGTGGTTCCGTGACGTCGGCCTCCCCGTCCTGCCAGGGAGGGGTGGCGAGCCCGGGGGCGTGGTGCGGCCAGCAATCGCCACTCATGGATTTGATTTGGGCTGGTCCCCCCCCCGCCCTTTCCATAGAAGCACTGCTCGATAAAATGTGAATGGAAGGTCCAAAAAGGTGGCCTACATTGTGTAGGGACGTTCATACTCAATGGGCATTTCATCCGGAACGTTAAAACATGGTTCTGTCTTCGATATTCAATGCATGAATGTAAGGAAAGCCATTTGACCATTAACAGTATCCTATGTCCTTCACATCCTGTTTAAGGTCCATTATGTACTCATACGCTTTTCGTCCTGATGAGTAGAACAATTCAGTGCACTCGTAAAACAATTGTCCTATTACTGCTTTTGCCATCACTTCCTTCCTCTACTGTACATTTCATGCACACTAGTAGGACAGCCTTGATATGCTAGTAAGACAACTGACGAGAAAGGAAAAACTGCAATAATTGACATCTGCACATTACTAATACTCTTAGTGATGCGCTATACAGACTAGTGGAATTTTATAACATTGCTACTGGTTGTAGCCCACTGTTGTCCACTAGTGCAATTTCGCTTAATTCATAATATTTTCTTGCTAGTGAAGAGAGAACACAAGTATTACAGGCTTTAAGGTGGATACTGAATGAATGCTCAAACAGCTTGCCATAGTACATTTTGGACAGGAGTAGAAATTCATGTTGAATTAATGAAGTCTGGTGCCTTGGTTTGTCCCGTTCGTTGCAGCTGTGGGAGTTATAGCAACCTCGGAGTCTGTAATGAAGGACGAGCAAGTTCCCCACAGAGATGCGCCCAGCTACAGGTCAGTGAGGTTCTAGCATGTCATTTAGATCAAATTTTAAAGTTGCACATTTTCATTGTACCTTACAAAAGTAGTTAAGCTTGCAAAGGAAAATTAACATTTACATCTGTGGCTAACACCTGCTTGTTTACAGTGACTGTTGCATGCAGTGCATGTCTAGTGCAAGACGGGTGTGACTTGAGATTAGTAAAGTTCCATTTTAAAACTGCAAATTGCCCCTTAAATGAACTACTTCTTTTATTCAGACATTGGGTTAGTGTCTCGCCCAAGGAAACCAACCGCCAAGATTTGAACCAGCAACCCTTCAGTAACTGGACATACCGCTGTACCAACTTCTTGCATTTCAATTAGACACTTCAGCTAATATTTATGCAAGGTCCACTTCTGGGAAACCTAGCAATGTACAGCTGAATAAGGTTTTACAGAGACGTCTCAAATGGGCCTGTAAATCTTTTCAAAAGCAAGGCCAATCAAGTGGTGAGGGAGGGGGTGGAGAAATAAAATTGAAACGATTCAGAGCAACAGTCTACAAGGATTTGTAAAACTTGATAAATGAGGTGCATGTTAGAAAAAACAAGTTGTACCAAAACAGTAAATTTCTTTTTTTTTCCCATTGGGGTTAACAAACACTGACAATGTGGCATGAGGGGAAACATTTTATTTTGAGATTTCTAGTTTGTCTGCTGGCAGGTGTGTGAAGAACACAGTTTCTCCAACTCTGGAAGAAAGAGCGAGAGAGTTATTTTCTGGTGCAAGCATGCACCCCCACACCCCCAAAGAAACCTGGAGTTGAGTCCGTGCACTGCCTCAGCGAGGTCATGGCATCCATGTAATCTGGTCCCAAGAAGCTTTGATAATTGGACCCGCTTGGCACTTCCTGGAGACACTGGGTGGAATCCTTGAATAGGAGGTTCCTCTCAGGTGCAGACTCAAACATTTTGAAAGGGGAGTTTTTGCTGCCTCGACCAAAGGAAGCCTAGAAGAGAAATAATGACAGGGTGAAATTAATCAGCCGTGCCACTAGCCTTCTGCAGTACTTACAAGGCAATAGAGTACTTCCTACCTGCTGTTCCTGAAGAATGGAGACGACAACATCGCGGGTCTCAGGACGGGTCACCACAGCGTCTGCTGGGGCAACTCCCAGGTGGCAAGCCTCAAAGTCTGTTATTGGCACTGGACCCTTTGAGGGGCAAATTAGCTCATAGTCGCTGCTCAAGACCCCAGCAGCCCATGCTGGACCTTTTCCTGCAATGGAGCAGAAATATGATTGCTATGTACTGGTGATTGGTGGGAGGGTGGAGTGTCATGTTACCGTCGCTGTTTTCTGCAACAGTTGTGTGTTTAATGAAGGCCACTTCACCAGCACCCTCAACAAGACATCTAAAAAGAGGATAATGCAGTCAGATAAAGTTTGCATCCTGTAATGCAGCGTTTTCCAGGTCGACGGTTAAATCAGCTTCCCCAAGTTATAATATCTGCACTGTTAAGATCTTACCTAAAGGCCCCAGCATAGCCGTAGTACTTCTCCTCTGAATTGGCTTTGCACTTTGTTTCATCATCCACAGTTTTGTCACTGCCTGCGCACTGGGAGCAGAATGGTGAGCCGGCTGGAGATCCAGGGGCACAGCCGCTCTTGAAGAACTTTGCTGATGAAACGGGACAAATTGTGATGCATTTTAAGCAACTTCTTGGATTCACCCATTGAAAAGAGGGAAAAAAAAATTCTTTGCAACAATGTAGTGCAGTTTTCCTGTTGAACCAACTACTGTACACAGACTGGTTGTAGCATGAATTCCTGGTCTACAAAGTTACCTCTGAAGCTATAGCTTGTTGGCCACCCATGCCACTTTTTGGCAAGTTCACCGCCTATCTTTCAAAGGACTACAGTTTGAGCCAGCTATAAGGTCTGGAATACGCGTTTCCCTTATCAGTTTTATCACTAAATATTACATTTACGCAGTCACATTTTACATTCTGCACAAGTATACTTACTGAAGTCACAGTCGCCAGTCTCTTTGTAGATTTTACCCATGGGAATGTTCCAGCCGGCTGTTCTGCCAAAGCCGGTGTGGCAGGACCTCTTCCCCATCAGGTTAGCCCAGGTCACGCCAGAATCCCTCTTCACCACCGCAACAGCATAATATGAGGAGGCTGAGGCTATACATGTACAAGTTTGGTTAGATTTTGAAAACCAATTCAATTTTGGTGCAAATGCTTGTCCATGTTTACAGAGAACGTCTTGCGGCCAACACCAGCTGTATTACTTATCAAAAATGAGAAGCAAAATAGAAAAAAATATTTACTGTACCTCCAGACTGGTTGCATTTTGCTGTTGAGTGAAAGGGGGGGGGGAAAATGTTATTTTAAATACAGGGGAGGAAAAAAAAAAAAATTCTACATACCTTCATCGTACTGCTCCACCATGGCTGGAACCAAACCGCACAAGCCAGCTGTGTACACCTCTCCTCCATCCACTGCCATTGCATCTGCATCGTTGTGCTAAAGTGAAAAACAATTGCATTCCTGTTCAATTTCTAGCTTGGTTCTTTTTACTTAAGAGTGCATGAACTGACTCAATTTTGAGCCAACCGTAGAGGGTACTGTAAAGAAAACCGAGGCAAAAAAACAAAACTGACATTTCAGAAAGTTTCCACAGTGTGTTTGACAGACATGTCCACCCAAGTTTGTGGAGATTGGCAAAACTAGTGAGATATACATTTCTAGAAAAGCTACTGAGCAGGTTTTGCCGACCCTTTAATTTGTACACATGCAATTATTTTACCAGGATCATCTTGATGCAGTCTTGCACAGTCGGTGCAGTCTGGCACAGAATCACGTTTTCACCATCCACCATGCCATTGACGCTCCATTTGTTACATTTCCGAGTCTCACTCGAGGCCACGGAACACCACATGATTGCGTTTGATCCGGCTGCAGTGGCCTCTGAAAGGAAGTGATGCAAAATTGTTAGTGTTCATTGTGAGCTTCAGTACGTTCCTTTTACCTTTGTTCAGGGAGCGCACAATGCTCAAGTAAGTGGCACCAAGATACAGGAAGGAGGTCGTGTTGGCAGGCAACCTGACTAGTTTTTCAGTGGAGTCTTTGAACATCAAATTCTTGGCAGGTGCGTATGCCTCAGAGGAGAATAGGTCAAAGTTCTGTTTAATAAAAAAATAAATAAATTAAAAAAAAGACATTTTTCCTGCCATTTTCTTCCTTGAAGAGTGCGGCAGCCCCTGGGGGCTCAAACCACAATACACATGTAATTGTATCTTAAATCCAAGTGCGCATCCTACCTCTACTGTGGTGAGGCTATTCCAAATCAAATCTGCCAATTTGGAGTCTTGGCGGGTGACCACAGCGTGAGCAGGTACCCTGGCCAGGTGGCATTCTTTGTAGCTGTCAATGGGTGCTCTGGTGTTGTTCATGCACAGCAGCTCGTAGTCTGCCTTCATGCCGTCTGTAAGAAAAAAAAAGTTGCAGTTAAGCAGATCCTTTGAGTTATTCTGGTTCTCCACATTTAGATATTTGTAGCACTGTCCTTCAGAAGATGACAGATAACCATATGGCATAGTTTAAAAGAAAAAAAACCCTAATTGTCGAGGTAACCAATTCTCAATTTGACGCAAGGACATGTGACACTTGATGTTAAGCTTTAATATGATTGAATGGACTCACCTGGTACAGTTAGATGCTTAACAAATGCCACATCTCCAGCATTTTCCACCAGGCACCTAGTAAAGAAATGTTTGACTGGATAAAAGGCAGATTCAGTGTGAGAAGTTTTACCATCTCATGCACTTTAATATTTTTAGCACCTGTTCTTACTGTCCACCCCTACTGAGACTATTCAGGACAGAATGTACAGTACTTTGACCCCAGGTCATAATCACTTTGTCTGAGATGTTACAATCTGAGACATTGTTAATACATGTCCACCCAGCACCAACTTGCCCGCATACTCTAAAAACCCACCAAACCAACAATTAAAAAATTTAATCAGGGAACACCGTACTTACTGGAATGCACCGCCGTAATCATAGAAAGGTTCGTTGTGAGAACGTGAGCAGTCTCCCTTGCAGCTTTTACACAATTGGGAACCCTTTCCTGCTCCTGGGACACAGCTCTCAGAGAAGAAGTTACCAACCGCTGAGAGGGAAAGAGAAAGAAGTTAAATCATGTTTGAGGAAAAAAAAAAATCCTACACATCACTCACCTGATTCAATAGTTTCATTCTCATTGCCTGCCCACTTCAGCACACCCAACTTGATGAGAGTTCCAATCGGAATGTTCCAGCCGGCAGATTTTCCCAAGCCAGTGTGGCAGGATCTCCTCCCTTGCAGGTCTCTGATGCCGAACCCAGAGCCTTTCTTAACCACGGCGACAGCGTAGTAGCAGCTACTTGATGCTGATCACATTGAATGGAAAATTTGTTGCCATTTGAAAAATGGCGACATATTGCAGCAACAAGTGACACATTTTGTGCCATCATTCCCCACACAATGACTTGAACCTCTGATTGATTGTTTACACTTTACTTACAGGCACCATAGTCTTCAGCAATTATGGGCTGAAGTTTGTAATCATCTAGGCCAGCCGTGTAGATGTCTCCTCCATCCAATGTGATGGCATCCGCTGTACCCTCCTGCACAGAGATTAATGGAAGACAAAAATTCTTTCCAAGGTAGCATTTGACTCCTGAGCAACTTTCTGCACAGCCAATGTTGCCACCTTGCAACATTTAGCAACTTTACCAGCTCTGACTAATTTTCGAAGGCTACTTGCAAACCAACTTCATTTATACGCCCATCCCTTTATGGGACCAGTTAGAAAAAGCAAGATTCAAAGTTAGAAGCTTTGACTGGCAGTTGTTTCAAACATGACCACGCCATGCTTCAATATATCCATTGGAGGGGGGGGGGGGATCTCACGTGAATAGCAGTGAGACATTCCAAAGTGTTCGATTTCTTGACACAGGAAAAGACTGGTGCCTTGGTGGCCAGTGCCAAACACTTCTGGTGCTCCTTGTCCGACTTTAAGCACCATCTCACATGATCGGTGGAGGCCGATAGCACAACAGCTACTGCGCAGCGGGCGCCCATGTTGACTGTGTTGGCTTGGCACTGTCACCCTGTCACTCACCGTGTCTCCGTCCTCCCTCACAACATTGTCAGGAGCTGGAGGATTGTCATGAATATCCACCGAGTTTTTGTCATCTTCCCTGGTAGATGAGACAAAACAATGTCATAGCACCAGTATTCCTGTTTTATATACTAAACACAAATTGTAAATTCAGTTTTATAGATTTAAGTGGATTCCAAAAAAAAAAAAAAAAAAAAAAAAAAAATTAAACAGTTGAGCATATACAGTACAGCAAAGCAAAAGTAGGACATTGTGGTGAAAACAGTGCAAGCACATTAGTGATGACAGTTCTTTGTAATATGAACCTCGAGTTGGACAAAGGCTCCAACACTTTACACACTATTTGGGTCTAGTATTTACAAGTGCAGCACACTACTTCACAAATAAGCGTTAATTGCACATAGTATTGGAAAGCCATTGAGGTCTGAGTCTTTAAAGCCATTTCATCAGCAACTACACTTGCTATCCAGATTGTCCATGTACTAGTATGCCAATTGAAACTCAGACAAATGGCAGACTGGTATATGGATAAATGTTGCCATATTTAAATTGCTGCCTTTACCCAAGTAGCTGAGCAGCAACATCGAGCGCAGATGTGACAAGTGGAGATGCTTCATGGTGGACATCTCCAGGTCAGCAGTCAGTCCTTTTATAGCCACTCTCGGCTGGATGAGTGGGGCTGAGGGGAGATTAATCACACAGTTTGTACAAACTGCATAAAACAGTTTTTACCTCTTTGGACTCCGATATATATTCATTGAGAGTCTGAATATCAATAATTGAAGGCACCTTGGGATTTGAAAAGCAGTGAGAAAAATACATTTCTTTGCAGAAATCTCACAGTAGTATTTTTTCAAGGAGTGAAGGGAAATCCGAAAAACAAGAACCAAACATTTCAACAATAAAACCTCATCACTTACTTTCTGTCTTGTCCTGAGTGGCAGTATGTGAAGAGCGGAGAAGAGAGAATTACCGATTTCTCACCACTCCTTTTTATTTTGGCTCACCTGAGTGCTAATTGACCTCAGGTGCCGCAAGTAGCGGAAGAACAAGGAGGCAAAGGCGGTCCTAGTGATGGCCAGAGGAAATTAGGGCAAGCTATCATAATTGCACGCAATACTTGAATTCCAATATTTCAACAGCCCCAAATATTTATCTTATTTGATTCTCGTGAGCGGCAGACAAATCACTTAATCTCATTTTTGAGGCGGAGCCATTGTCCTGACGACCGGCTTTTGGTCACGTGACCCGCTCATTCTTTGCCTAGCTACGGAGAAAGCGTCGCTCTCTCCTCCTCGGTCTCCAAGGAAGATAACTCGTCCAAAACTATCCATCCCACGCCACGCACTCACTCTCAGTTTCGAAAATGTCACTTGCGCCTGCGGGGAACCGTTCAGGGGGTATTCGGATGAAGACTCGGCCGAGTTTTAACGCCGTCAGAGCGCCGAACGTGAGGGTTCAAGATTAGTTAGCATGCTAGGCGGCTAGCGGTCGCATCAGGAAGATTCCTGGCTGGACTGGCAGGTACACACGTACACAAAACCACCACACGATCCACTACTTCTACCCGGCGTTACACCACACAACGATACTAACTTTCTTTCTAAATTTTGTTAATGATAGCAGTTGGTAGGCGGTCGGTGTTTCTTGCGACGGTAATAGGATTTAATTGCTTAAGAAGCTAAGATGTGCACCTGTGTGTCTGGTGCGTGATGTAACCTCGTAGGATCTGCCTGTTGACAACAGAGCACTCAAATGTCACCTTTAGGGACAAAAGAAAATTATTTTTTAAAAAATACAGAAATTATGCTATAGACAGGATGGGGAGGGAGTGGTTAGCTCGTCTGTCTCACAATTTAGAGGTGTAAGAGTTTTGGCTTTGATCTTGTTTTGTGATTAATTTCCTAAAAAGAAGACACAGTAGTTGCACTTTCCTAAAAAGAAAAGATTTGAGTGGTTTCGTTCAAGTTATTTTTTGGGCAGCCACACAATTCTGAGGGCTTGCCTGAAATCTCGACCTGTGCTTGTTTGTTTTTAATCCATGTTTATTGTGTTATTGTGTATTTGTATCCATAACCAGAACTACTCAGTGCCATTGTCTGTTCTATGGTGACTGTCACACAGACCCACCTCCAACAAAAAGCCAAAGAAAATGCTTGTCAATGTTATGTTGTCGCAGGATTTGAGATTCAGAAATGGGCAAGTTACAGAGCAAGTTTCGCAAGAGGTCTGAGCTGTACAGGTGAGATGTCCATATCTAAACACACTTAGTTGTGAGTGCCCCAACCGGCAAGTTGGTTCAGCTTTTGCTCCTTGTGTTGCGAGCTAAAATATGAGTTACAATTGAGCTTCAGATGTGCCACCGCTCGAGTGAAGTGGAAAAATGTTATGAAGGCAATGCCCTCGCATGTCGGCAAGTAGAGCTGAGAGTTGCTGATGCATTTTCATTTATTCATAGAATAGGACAAAGTCAAACACACACAAAAAAATCAAAACACTCGGAGCTCCTGTAGGCCACAACTCAAGCAGACTAACCGGCCAACCAGACGCCAACGTCACTGACCAGGCCACACCACCGAAAGAGACACATTCAGCAGCCAAATGCTACAGTTTATGTAGTAACTTTTAACTCATTCAGTACCAGACAATTCTAGACCAAGTCTGAAAAGACGTTTAAAAACGTCTTTGGGAGTGAATGAGTTAAAAACTTGTGGCTCGATGGCTATCACACTTTTCCTCTTCCACGTCCAGGGCCTCAGAGGGTGAAAAGGCAGACGGTGCATTAGACAGCCAGGTGGTTCAGTATGAACCGGCCCATCACGGCTCCGTCAACACCATCACAAACCTCAGCGCCGATCTGTGTGTTTCAGGAGGCACCGACCAGGTAGACGACGAACGTTTAAGTTTGAATTCAATAACATTTGTTTCCAATGGCTTATAAAACATATCGCTGTGTTTTACAGACGGTGGTGGTGTATGACTGGAAACAAGGCCGCATGTGTCAATCCTTCCAGGGTCATAACAGAGAGGTTACCAAGGTAACATCAATATTGTGCATTGGAGGGCTGGAAGCGCTTGTTTAAATGCCTATCACATACACACACGCACAAACCTCCTCTCAACCTTGTGTTGTGAACTTAGGTGGTGTGTTATCCGGGCAGCACGTGGATCTTCAGCGCCTCTCGGGACAAGACTGTCCTAATGTGGGACTTGAACCAGGGGGATGAGCCCATTCAGGAGTTTTGCGGGCACCAGTTAGTGGTCAACGGGCTTGCAATCAGCCCTGGTATTCACTGTCTTACACACACGCACGCACTCACGCAGCCATCTCAGCAAAAGGAATCTTAAAATGATGATAGTGTCGCCATACAGCGATGGGTTGAAAATCACCAATTTACAAGTAAACAATATACGTTGTGATATCTGAGTCGGGGAAAAAAAATGTCAAAAAGGTTTTTATTCAAAACAGAATCACACAAGTATTGCATCTACCTAACCATCTATGGGGGTAAAAATGGATCAAATACATCAAATACATCAAAGTGATGCCAACGCTTTATCTTAGTCTAATTTAAGATTTGACAGAGGCTTTGTACTGTCCCTAGCGATTGTGTTCATAGAACACAAAACTGACACGGTTGTTGTCATGTTTCTGTAGATGGGAGGAAACTGTGCACGGGCTCCCGCGACAACTGCATGTGCCTGTGGGACATTGAATCTGCAAAATGCGAGCAGAGACACAACATTTCCAGAAACCTGGTGAGAACAATGCACTCATTTTGTTCAGTCCATCAAGGCCACGCGATACCTTGAACCTCCCCCTGACGGCGGCATAGGTGACTCACGTGTGCTGGGTGCCAGGCAGCTCGTCGGTCGTCCAAACGTCGGAGGACAAAACCATACGGTACAGACAGGTTTTGCCACTGCAACTATTCAAAGCAGCCACTGTAGATTTGAGATTCAGTTTGATTACGACATACTTGTATCGACCACATACCAGCAAAAGTGCAGCACTTTCTCTCCCTCTCACTACTGTGCAGCTATGAAAAAAAGGACACAGACACGCGTAATCCATTGCAAAACCCTAACGGCTGATATTTCTTTGTAGTTGGCTACCAGGCATTTAAACAACAAAGCAATATTGGGGAACGTAAAAAAAACTTAAAGAATAAAGTCGAGTGGAATCACAAGAATAGCTAACTGTAATACTTTGAGTCGAAATATTCAACTTTTTTGAGAAGAGTTGCACGACCGGTACATTTATTTTGAGAAAATATGTAATACTACAAGTTTGAGAATAAAATTGGTATTTACAGGGGAAAAATTGTCTTGACAAAGGAAAATGAAACATCTTCTCAGCATAAAGTTGCAATATACTACTGTATGAGAAAAAAAATACCCTTTAAAAGTTTTTGGAAGATTAAAGTTCGAATATGGGCTAAAAAAATCTCAGTTATTGGAGGGGGAAAAAAAGAATATAACTCTTAGTTTACATGAACCGTTTTTATAAGACATTGCAAACCATTTCAAGTTTTACCATCAATAGACCAGATTTTCACTTGGACATTTTTGCAAATGTCTGTCGTGTGTGCATACAGAGTGTGGGACAGCCGAGCGTGGCAGGTGACCAACACATTTCCGGCCAAGCAATACATCCAGACCCACTGTGATGTTTCTGACAATGGAAATTACCTGGTGTCCAGCAGCAACGGTTTCGGTGGCCAAGGCTGCGAGGCCACGGTGAGGTTGGGTCACGTCCTTCTCATTCGTGTTGGTTTGCTTTGGACAAAACAAAATGGCTGCCAAAACTTCTCATTCACTTAAGTATGATGAAAAGTGTCCATCTGAATATTTATAGATGATGTTTATAGGTTATTTAATGCATATTAAAGTTGTATTTCTGGTATTACAAATGTATTCTCTACAAGAAATGATAATATTTCAACTTCCATCTTGAAATATAGAAATAAGATATATATTTTAATTGATAATGCCATGAGATTAAAGTCAGTATTTCTTAGTGGTTTTTTTTCTCCAAGTTTAAGGATCTAAATCGAAATATTAGACAGAATTTTGGGAAAAAATTTCAAATGTTAGGAAAATAAAAGAAAACATATCAGCACTTTACAATAATTTATTTTGCAGCACAAAATCTAATCGAAATATTTGTTGTAATTAAAAAAATACATCGGGAATATTTTGAGATATGCATTGCGATATCAGATAGAAGTTTAAATTTTACAAGAATAATATAATATTACAAGAAAAAAAATCACGAGGAAATATAATAATACTATTCTGACGCTAAAGTTGAAATATTCCTTAAATGGTCTTAATTTCATGACAACATTCATGTGAAATTAAAACGTAATTGTTTTCAGATAAAGATGAAATTATGAGAATAAAATAGTAAAATTACAGCTGTAACATACACAATATCACTTGGGGAAAAAATTACAAGGATAAATTTGTATTGAGCAAATTAGGTAATAATTTAATGTTACAGCAGTAAAGTTATCATATTCAGGAAAAATAAATTCACGAAAAATATGTGTATTACTAATGGAGTTAAGATGGTACAAGAAAAAAAGTGGTAATATTACTATGAAAATCCAAATTTTCAGAGAATCAATTCGTAAAAGTCTCCCATGATGTTGTGTGTGTGGTCAGCTGTGGGATCTGCGTCAGCCAGGCTGCAAGGTGGTAGAGTACCGGGGCCACCTGCAGACCACCGCATGCTGCGTCTTCCTGCCTGTGCCACAGGGGGGCAATAGCGCCGCTCTGGTGGCCACATCATCCCATGACAGCTCTGTCAAAGTGTGGGACCAGAACTCAGCAGGTATGACAGAACTCAGCTGGTTGTGCATTTCATAGCTGGGCCTTCAGTGTTGAAAATAATAATAATCTAACATACGCATGTTCTAGAAACAGTGCATGGACGATAGCCTATTAGGAATAAATGACTACAATTCAATAGAACAAATATTGAAAATTTTGTTGGAAATGTAGGCCGGCGCTCCTGATAACATTTAGACTCGCAGGTTATGTTTTTAGCGTCTTATTCACATCTCTTGCTCTCTTCAAGTGTGTTTAGCCACGTTGTCGCTCGACGGCGCCGGTCCTCTGGTGTCATTGGCGCCCAGCGACGCCTCCAATGTGCTCTGCGCCAGCTTCAACAGTGGAATTCATCATGTCCAGCTTCTTCAAACACCAGGGGCGGCTTCAGGAGCAGCTACCGATACTGACGTTAGAGTGCTGTCCCGCTTCTAAAAGGTACCATTTTCTATGTAAATGTGCTTCCAAAGTCAGACAAAATCATCAAATCATCATCACACGCGATGTCAGCAAGTCTTGTGGCACTTCAGATCAGTGAGCAGTCACAGGACCGAAGTGTTAGGATAACCATGGAACAGGAACAGGAAGTTGATAAACACACAAGAATAATAGGATTATAAAATTTAAGTTCACAGTCTTCCTTTTAAAAGAAAATATGTAACATCATTATGTTAGCATTAACATTCCTTGCCATCCTACAAAAACGCAAGCATCTCCAAATTCTTTTTTTTTTCCAACAAAATATTTTTGGGGGAGATTACAACAAAAATACAAATTATTTGCGCTTTTTGTGGAATTACAAAAAAAAAAAAAAAAAAAAAAAAAACAATTAAGGAAATTTTATTTTTGGGGGTATTTCAAATGAAACAACTTGGATATGGAACCTTTTGTCCTGCGCAGTGATTTACCTTCGGAGCATTCATTTTGACATGTTGACAACCTGGAAGTCACCATGTGTCACATAGATTTTGTGTTCTACTTTTTTTTTATTGCAAGACTTTCAACTTTTTGGACATTTTATGGCGCAAAAAGGGATTGAATTAAGAGGATTCACCCTTCACTCATTTTGAATAGCGCTTATCCCCTTGAGAGTCACAGGGAATTGGAGCCGGTTCATCACAGGACAATTGTGAATGGAGACACAGACTTTGAATCAAGCTATGTGAACCGCTACACTACCAATGACCCAGTTTGGTAGACCTGATTGTTGAAAACGTGGATTCTTTTTGGAGGATTCTGCACTTGTCATCACACTGAAGCCAAATAGAATATTTTTGTAGACATGCAGAATTGTTTTGAATATCATCCAATTTTTTCAGATGAACAGATTTTGAAAATAAAGCTGCAGAACTAACTATGCAATAACTAATGACGTTTATAGAAAAACAATTAGAATGAAAAATATAGAGTAGAAATGATTGCAAAATGTAAAATAAAACTGTTTTCAACATGCCACCATACTGTTTGATTGACCGTAAATAAACTAATGGTTTATTTTTTTATTTTTGTGCTTGCAAACACTTTGTTTTTCTTCTTTCTACCCCCCAAATTTGCTGCTGTAGACTGTAAATTTCCCCAGTGTGGGACAAATAAAGGATATCTTATAAACCTAATGCCTATTAAGTAGTGCTTATAACCTCCATGTGCCGGTGATCTGGTTCAAAGAACTGAGGACACACTTCCGGTTTTAATTCATTTAAATATGGAATTTATTCGCCATTGGTCACACACACCCACAAAAGCCCAATATTCAATTGCTACCCAGCGACATGTTTGCATTTCAACTCACAAACACATACACACCAAATCACAGTTTTTAACTTTCCACGTGGCCTATTCTACATGTACAACACGGCAAAATGAGAAGAAAAAAAAAGTTGAGAAATGTGAATATAAAAATGACACTGATTCAAGTTGGCACGTAACAAAAAAAGGCTGCATATGGAATAACAGGAACAGTGAGGATACCGTTAGATTCATTCATTAAATAAATGCTGTATTGACATTTTTTAATAAGGAATAGCATTTGAATGTTTTTAATGCAGTAGTTGCAAACGTGGAGTGTGTTTAATCATATTCCTTTCAGTGTAAAGTCCCACAAACGCATGGGACCATTTTTTTGTAAACTTGACCCCTTTTCAGTGTAATACCACTTGAATTTCTTGACCAGTGATTTTTTTTTTAAATAACAAACTTCTCTAAGTTGACTTGTAACATTTTCATAAAAAAACAAAACAAAGCAAAACATGCTGTGAGTAATAAAACATCCATCCATCAACTGCGATGAAATGAAGCTTATTTGCACTTTCACATATAAACATGACTAAAATGGCTGGGCCAAAAGATGCAGTCTGCCATGCATTTCTTCAAATAAAAATATTTTTAAAAGCCCAAAAATGTGGATCATATTTCATTAACTTTGCATGACCCTCAGAGGGCTGTATAAAAAAAAGTGGCCCTGACCCTATAATAAAACACATGTAATTGCTTTTTTTTAAAATTTTTTTTTTTTAAATACACTTTCCCCTTCATATCACTTAAAAATTAGCAGGCTGTATTATTGACTCAAGTACAGTAATTAGTGCAAGAGAGCATTTTTTCTGTGGTAATAGAATGTATGATCCATCGCTATTAATTGAGACAACATGGATGCAAACAGATTAATTTTGGAAAATTTAAAGCCATTTGAGACGTTTGCAGTTATAAATTGCAATATGCCTGTCGAGAACACTTACAGATTTGTGATGTTATTAGTGGCTTCTTTGAACTTGGTGCGGCATAACCATTGCATCCAAAATGGCGTCTCAAGAGTCCACATTCCACAACAAGAGAATTCAAAAAACTGTCCATCGTTAGGATTGGGCAGGGGAGACAAACCTGACATTTCATTTAAAACGATAATAATCATAACATGGACAGAATTATTTGATCACAGCACAAAGAAGCTCAATGTTTAGTCCAATTAGTCCCTGAGAATAATATTGTGTATCAATGATGGGAGACATTCCTGTAATGATGCAGTCACATAAATATGTGCATACACACAGTGTGGACTAAAGTATTCAGAACAGACTTTTTTGGGTGGGGCATTTTAACTTTGCTAATTTAGGGAGAGAACAAACACTACTTTTTTGACAGGGTCTTTTTTTCTCTTGACCTGTGTTGTCCAAATATTCCTTGATAATTTAACATAAAGAACAACAGAGGAAGTTTTTTTTTTTTGTTGGTGGAATAACATAGCACAGTGGTACCTCCAAGATATAATTTGGAAATTCATGGCGAAAACCTGCCTTCCATGTCTGTCAGATTTTTGATATGATAATGTGTGATGTCAGCGCTCCTCACAAACCTCACTTCAGTCAGCATCAAATATTACTTTTCTGACAAGGGGAGGAGAAAAGAATTTCTGAAGTCAGTGTAAAGTACTTTGTCCATCGTGTTTCAGTGTCGTGCTAGTTAGAGAAGATGGCTAGCAAGTAGTCATGGGGATCGCTGCGTTACTGGTCATCAGAGTAGAACTCTGACCAAAGCTACCTCCACACTGCAAGGTATGAGGCCCAAAAATGATGCCTTAAAATAGAATCCATCTTCTCCACTGATCTCATCTCACTCCACGGAATGAGGAAAACAAATAAAAATCAGCAACTGTCAGTTTTTATTCAGAGAACTACTTTTGAGCAGTCCGCCAGAAAATTGTGAGTGGTGCATCCTTAGATCTAAATCATCTTCGTTTCCTTTTCACGAACTGGAGTGAGTTTACCAATTTTATTAAATGAGAGTCGACAGTCTTTCCAATAACTCGAGTCAGTGAACCGAAAACGACTGAATCATCCACCGTATTTCCGGTGATTCATTGCAAAGATTCGAATCGTGAACAAGGCTGATGTGAGAACCAATCACCGAGACTTCTTTTTACACACGTATGACAGGTAAATGTTAAAATGTGACTTTAAACCTGGCCTGTACACCCGATAAAGGTTTTGACCTAGTTCAAGGTGCCACTGTCGTAAACATAAAATGTAGTGGGCGTCATGCAAACAAAGGCTTGAAATACTTGAGGACAATAGGCCATGAACTCAAGCAGGTGAAATTCTGATTGGACGTTTAAATACCGGTGGAGGGGGCGCTGCTGCTGCTGCTTTTACTCGTCCATGCGCTCCAGGCCATCGATGACCCGACTCAGCCGGATGTTGAGCAGGCGGATCTGAGTGTCCAAGTGATTTATCTTCTCCTCCAGCGAGCTGGTGCCGCGTCGCCAGTACACACCCACGGGACCAGTCATGAAGTACAGTGCCATGATGACGCACAGCGGTAGCAGTGCGCGCTCGGGGTCGCCCTCGAACTTCTGCAGCACGTAAAGGCAGGCCATTGCCAGCAGAACCACACGCGCCAGCCAGAAGAAGCGGCCGAACAAAATGTGCAGGACGTAGAACACCCCGCCCAGGAACACAGACAGCAACCACAGGGCTGCAAGGGCACCGGCCATGAGGGGCAGGGCGCGTGCTGGGTTGCTGCTTAGGGATGCCGGGCTGAAGTAGTGGCTCAGGTTGGATGCTGCACATTGAAGGAAGGCAACAAATTCAGATAGGCACCTGGATTTTAGTTAAGTTTGATTTCTTACTTCCTCATGTAAAACAGTGACTTCACGACCACGCTGCTTTAAATGTATTAAGTAGTAACTACATTTAACTTACAGTCAATTCCCATCACATCGAGGAAATCGACCCAAATTTTCCAGATCGTGTCAAGGAAGGAGTCCACGCCATGAACAAAGCGTTCTGTTGCTTTGGAGAAGAACTGGAAACGAACAGAGGAATTGGTATTAAAACATATTTTTGAGAAATACTTTTTTCACTCTAGAGCAGTGTTGTAAATCATCGTGGCAGATGAAAACAAAATAGTTGAACCACTTTCAATTTGCCATACACAACATTTTCGAGAGAACCCAGCAACAACGAATGGCCGAAAAAAATGCAAGTACTCACCAACTTTCGTGCTTTTTATGTAAAGCCCTTCCAATCTGAGTCTAAGCTCAGTTCTCGGTCCCTCTTAACAGTGTCTGGTCCACAGACCTGAGGCACCGGGCAGATGCTTAGGGACGGAGGAGCTCGGAGACATAACGTGGGGCGAGGCCATTTAACATTTTGAAAATAAATAATAGGATCTTAAAAAGAACACTAACATGTAGAGGGAGCCAGGGAAGGGATGCCAGAGTAGGAGTTTTGTGCTTCCTAATACACACTGCGTGTTTTTGTTTGCTTGTTAAAAACACATTTCACGAGCCTTTTGGTGACGAGAAAATTCGCTTCAACGGCTTCGGCGACGAAACGCACCGGATGAAGCGTCAAATGCTCGGGTATCTTCGTCAGAGCGTGACGTCACAAATGATTTGAGCTACATTTCATTGAAATAATTCATAAATAGGCAAGCCTAGTTGTTCAACAACCCTAACTGACGCTTTTGTGTATATGTTTTTAATATGATGTATATTATGGGTGTGAATTTCGGCCTTAATGCGTTTCAAAATGGCATTCTCCCCGAGACAGCCCGCCCCCATTCTGAATGAGCTTGATTTCCTCGTTAGCCACTTTAGCATCACACACACAAGAAGAGCAATCGTTACATCCGGGCACGTCCCACACGCTCACCTTGTAAAGGCCTCGGATGTTCTCTTCGCCGAACACGTTGCTCAGCGTCTGATAGAAGCCGTTGGCCGCCTTTCGGAAGCTGTTCTGGCTGCTGGGCCGGCTCCTGGCTGCTTGGGCCAACGAGAGCACGCACGCGGATAGCACCAACAAAAGCAATACACCCGTAGTCGCCTTCATGACCTGCCTAAATGTTATAATGTACGGGATGAGTTGAAGATGCAGGCAAAAAGATGCAGCCTTCCGCTATCGTCCGTTGAAACCTTGCGGTAGACGTCGACCAAAGGGGTCGCGTTCAGGCTACCCTCGTCGATTACGAATTTCGATTCCGATCAACGGGGATTTGGGGCGGGAAAATTACCCTGAGTGCAGATTCTTATCAATAGAAATCACTTCCAGCCGCTATGGTATAATTTATTGACTGAGTTGCCCTACAAATCACTGCATGATCCAAAGTTTAAATAAGAAATAATCAAATTCCGATAACGGTTTTATTCCTTGAATGCACCATGAAATAGTTATTTCATAACTCAATGCTGCCCTCTGTCGAGAGACACATTGGACGCAAGTTTAATGCACGGATAGAATTTTTGAAATGAAACCATGCACGGTGCCAGGATTAAAAAATATACAGTATATATAAAAATGTAAAATAAAATGTTTGGGTGCGATCTTTACCTGGGCCGTTACTCTATCACGTCCATTAGTTTCTTCAAGTCCGCAGATCCGTTTTGAAATTGAACAAAATATATAGATTACAACATCACTTAAAACTACGACCTTATTGTACAAAATTGTTCGTATTGTGTATGTAATTGGAATTACAATATAAACACCATTGGCTGCCTTTGTTCCTGAAGGTGCCGCCGAGTGATAATAATTTAATACAGAGAGAGAGAGAGAGAGAGAGAGAGAGAGAGAGAGAGAGAGAGAGAGAGAGAGAGAGAGAGAGAGAGGGTAAATAGGTAAAAGATGGAGAGGCGAGTTGTTATTGTCAAGGTTATTTTAAGTAAAACATCTCCACAGAGAACCCCCCACACACATACAAAGAAAAGAAATCGACCCGATCTAATAATCAACATAAATTGTGTGCCTTTTAATGTCTTACCACTAGATGGTAGACTGCGATTGCTCACGGCACGGCGTCGAGTGGTATCTTGGCTACGACGGAGTTGAGTGCCTGACTGGAATTCAAGTGGTATCCTAGAAACGATATCGACAGAACGCAGAAAAAAGCTGACCTCATTAAGCGCTCTCTCATTAATGTGAAATAAATGAGCGTAGTGAGGGTTTAAACATGTACGGGCGTGCTCCAAGAGTCACCTTCCTGCCAAATAGTGAGACCTCAGCTGCAGTCGGTCCTGGATCATACAACCTAAATTCAAGAAGACACTCCACAGGGTCAGGTAGGACTGTTTAAAAGTCATAAACACCAAAACACAGATTTAAATTGATAAATACGTTTTTGTCCTCGTTGCATAGATGGCTATGCTCCATTTTTGTCCTTGGCTAGCAGACTACCATTGATCAGTGAGTCCTGTGCAACAGAACCAGGACCTGGGTACTATGATACCTCACCTTTGAAGGTAAGATTGATCCCTCGTTTTGGTATCATTAATATTCTGCCGCTCAACTACCCGGTTTATCATAATTTAACCCTCCCGTGTAAAAAAACCCAATTCCAATGAAGTTGGAGCATTGTGTAAAACAAATAAAAACAGAAAACAATCATTTGCAAATCCTTTCCAACCCGTGTTAACTTGAATACACTACAAAGACAAAATATTTACTGTTCAAAATGCCGATTGTAATTGTTGTTTGTCTTATTTTAATTTTGATGCCTGTATCACATTCCCAAAAAGTTGGACAGGAGGCAACAAACGAAGAATGCTCAAGAACACCTTTTTGGTACATTTCACAGGTGAACAGCCTAATTGGAAACAGGTGAATGTCATGATTGGGTGTAAAAGGAATCCCCGAAAGGCTCTGTTTGCACAAGCAAAGATGGAGCAAATGGGAAAGAATTCTACCGACATGACTGGCCTGCCAGCAGTCCAGACCTGTCTCCCATTGAAAATGTTTGGCATATTAGCTCTAAATATGATGAGCAAACAAAGTTGATATACATTAATACAGTATATAATATAATGTATAATATAATAATATCAAGCAATAATGGGAACAAATTCCACCTACAAAGTGTCAACAATTCGTGTGCTCGGTGCCCAAACATTTGTTGAGTGTTGTTAAACAGGACAGGGGCCGATCCCAGATTTTTTGGGAATGTGTAACAGACATTATATTTAAAAGGAGTGAATATTGAATAAAAAATAGTCAATTTTATCAGTTTGAGCATTACATATCTTATCTCTGTAATGTTTTCCATTGAATATTGTTTGAAAAGTATTTGCCAATCACTGGTTTCTTACTCAACTGCAGATGCAATTTTGCAATACTGTGTTGTTAAACAATTGTCAATTGTCTTTTTAGCTAAATGTCCATGGCGGCTGCAGTCTTCGGAGCCGCTCCAGGCGCTTCGATGACCTGGCGTGTGAAGGTCCGGGCCCTGGGGCGTATGATATTCTCTCGCAGCCTGCCACCACCAGCCACAAGCTGAGACCTCGTGCGAATGTTGCTGTGCTTGGTGGCAGTCTGGTAAACTGAGTAATGGAAACTAATAAAATGATACGGTCAATGTAGTAGTTTGTAACCGGAAGGCTTTTATAAGAAAATCTATCCATCATCCAACATAAATAATGTACATTATCGATTCATTATTAATTCCATCCATCCATTCATTTTCTGAACTGCATATTAAACAATAAAGGACCCATTTGACCCATAGAGACAACTAAAATCATTTGTGAGAAATGATAATGCACAATATGTAAAATGAGGCATTTTAAAAATTTGTCCAAAAATTTTTATCACTTTTGTCTTCATTTGCTTTAGTCACATCCACCTCAAAAGCACCCATATTTTAACTGCGTTATTTTGCCTTTGGTAGCTTATTTAATGGTCCCCAGTGTCACTGAGAGTTCAAGATAAACCACTTGCCATTAAAAGCAACCAAATTATTTTAGCATTGAACCTCTTGCACAGGACGTGAACCTTACACACATACAGTATTTTATGAAATTTATTTTTTTTCTCTCTCTTCACCTGGTGAGTGTAATTGATGTTGTGAGTGCACTCAAGTGTTTGAAGGCTTTTAATCCATCAAGATTAAAACATGATTGGCTGATTATATGGAAAAAAAAACACATACATATCTTGACTTTTTCTACATTATTCTGACAGACACATTCCAAAGTGGATTAAAAAAACAAAACAAACCTTAAAATTCTTCACTACAAATTGTTTTCATTTTTTTTTTTCAAATTCATTAAAAATATAAAACTCAAAACAATTTGTGATGTAACATAATGTCTCTTTGCAGGCGCATCCTGCTAAAAGTTTGCTGCAGCGCATTGCTAGCCAGTACGATGTGCCATCCATTCCTTCCCCGGGTCAGGCATGTGGCTATGAGGAGGACTCCTCAGGTGTACTCCGCAAACAGGAGCCTCCGCACAGAGACACAACCCTGGGCCCAGCCTACTACAATCCTTTGAACGTAGGTGTTGCTTCCCATGTAATCCAAAATGCCCTAATACTTCATATATTTTATATTAAATGCATGCAACACTCCCCACATTGTTGGGTTATCTCTCCAAATCAAATGACATGCCTAATGAATGCAGCTCCACAAATAAAACCTGCACAATTAGAAGTGAAAAAACAAAAATAAAAGAAGCAAAAATAATTCTTCGAATTAGGTATTCGGTGGACAGTTGCTATTTGTGGGCCGGCCTGCGCTGTGGCCAGTGCTGAAGTTCATTTCATGGCGGGCACATCAAACGCATGCACCACTTCACACCCTATTGACTTATCTCCAAACCATTTCCATGCCTAATGAAGGCAGTTCCACTTTGGAAGCCGCGGCGCACCGACGCTCATCCATTTTACATGTGTGCAATAAAGGGGTGCCGTTTGTCATTATTCCTGCGGTCGCATTACAATATTCACTTGAAACAACAACTGCAGGCATCCACGAGGACCAAGAGTTCTCAGCATCGCTTTAGAAATGTGTTTCTTCAAACAGTGGCCCCACCCTCCCCAATAGATGCTGTGGACCACTTATTTGCCAGGCCCATCAACTGCCTTAGATAAATTGATATCCGTTTTTTTTTCCAGTCATAAACAATAGGGACATAGCTATGATTAGTTATTTGGAGTTCATCAACGCTGCTGTTCACAAAGACGTAAGAGCTGAGCTCATTTGAGCTCTGCTGCCAAACAAAACAGCGGCATGTAAACAGCAACGTGTGAAGTCCTTTTTGAATGTTGTAAATGAGTTCCCTAGACAGCATGAACGATGATTTCATGTCCCATATGGACGTCGTCGATGATTAGCATTCCGTTGGACTCTTGAGGCGAGTGGTTGTGCCACAATGTTGGATGCGTCCATGTTTAGCGTCGAGGGAGCTACCAGATTTTTTTTGTTCCACAGTCCGCCTCACGTCTTAATTATATACGGTAACTTGAAAATATACTGAACAAAAATATAAATGAAACACTTTTGTTTTTCGCTCCCATTTTTAATGATGGCAATTCTTTGCTCAAAATCCTAACAAAACAAAAAAAAAATTGTTTTGGGCATTTGTAGCATGGGAGAAAAAAAACTCATTGAAATAATACATGTTGGACATTCCCTTCAGTATTTAAAAATTGTCTACTATGCCATCAGCTGTGTTTGTTGTTCTGTTTTTAAAAGCTTTGCTAGACATAAAAAAGCAATTTGTTAGCAGCAACGACATCGGCGCTTGCTTGCATCCGCCTGCGAGCGGTTCTCGTTTCAGTTTTAAAGCGCAACTACTGTATCTGGAAATCTTTTGTTTGCCTGGCAGGATCGTGGAGGGATTGAACCCACGATCTTGCTGTGTGCTCAATGTTGAGATGAAGAGCAGGAGACAGGCACCCCGTGGAGTTTTTCCCTTTGAGCCAAACTTACTATTTCTTCTTCCTGCTCTTCCCAGGATGTGTATGAGTGAACAGGGCCGGACAGCCAGGTCACGGAAAACTTATCAAAAGAGACTGCAGAGGTTGAGATGCTTTGATTTCCAACTTTTATTTGCGCGCCCCCCGCCCTCCCTTTTTTTTCCCACACATGATCAGAGATTTCACATTGGAGTTAAGAACATGAATTGAAGTCAATCCAGATAAATATTTCACCAAGTCAACTTCAGTCTTATCCTATTTGCTTCACTAATGTTTGTGCACTCAATTGAAGAGAGTACAATGCAAAACATTTAAGTTAGACTTCAATTCTAAAATTTTGAATTTGGATGGTGTAATTGTTTCATAGTGTGAGCTCATTTTAGGTCAAATGAAAACGATTTAATGGTTTTGCCTTCACGATGAAGTCCATGGGCCTCTCCCACCGTAAAATACATGAACCATTAGCATTTATTTGTGCCATGACAGCACAAATGTCTTTACACAGGACAGCAGATAAGCCTGTTTATTTAACTCAACCGTCGAGTACCAGTCTACTCTTCAAGTGGAAGTGAGGAAATGTACTCCTCAACAATTCAGTGATTTTTGTGCTTTTTTTTTCTTCTTTTTTTCAGTGAAGCCTGAGTTAAGTGTTCAGTATTGAAATGTTGTAAAGCTAAGGCAGAGGAGTGAAGGCCACAAAATATCATGGAAGTGAGGAAGAATGCTGACATACTTTGAGACATTTTTCTGTACTTCACTTCTCATTCACCTTCAAATCCACAAGACAACGCAGTTAAAACACGAAATTAGTCCATTATATTTTTTGAACCATCCATTCACCTTGTCATTATCTCTTCCTCCTTCTGTCATTCTTTTACCCTCACCACATTTTTGGAATGCCTTTTTTTTTGGTTCCTTTGTCTCCAGGCTGCGAAGACCCAAAAATACAAAGGCATATACTTTGGCAACATGACAGCCAGGAGAGACCAGGTGACCAAGGATGAAGGTCCAGGGCCGGGCCACTACTACCCTGAGATGTGAGCATTACCTGCCCACTCTACGATAGATACATTTTTTTTAAGTGGCTTTCGATTCGTGCTTCTTCTTTTCTCAAATGTCCACATCAGTGTTCCTGAAACGCACTACGAAAATGTGAACATGCGAAAAGAGCAGAGGGTCAGGGCGGAACTTGTCATTCCTCGATACCACCAATTGTTGACTCAACTGGAACACAAGAAGGTAAGCCCATCTTTGATGACAATTACATGACATGATTTGTTATCAAAGGGGCTACCGAGAGTAATACATGCATTATATACGCAATTACCGGTAATTGGATTTGGATGAAATATTTTGGGTCACTATCGGTTACTATGGAAACGGTTACCCCTCCCAATCAAAATGGTATGGCCCACCTCCACATCCTGCTTGAACCAGGAAGTAGTCTTGTCACTAGCAACAAGAAATATTGTAGCATTTTGATGTGATGTTTAAGGCAAATGCTTTTTTTTTTCTTTTTTAATATGACTGAGGCGATTATTTTAAGAAGCTGGTGATATGACACCCCGAAAACATTATCATTTGTATTTTTACATGTAATTTCTGTAATTCATTTAGATAAAATTTTAATAAAATGTTGGAAGCGTTTTCATGATTTTTACAAAGGCATACATTTTCATTCAAGTCCTGATATAGTCATGAATATTATACAATAAAAATTGCAAATATATACCTCACACTTTTATGGATGAACAAAGTAATTTATTTGAGTACATAAAATAATAATCATAATCATGATAACAATGATTTATGTATCTTCATAAAGTGTGTCTTGACCCTTTTTTCACAAGTGCTTAGCCATTTTATAATTAGAAACATTGAAGTAAAATTACTGAAGTAATGAATTTTATCAACTTCCTTACATGGCCAAAATGAAAAAAAAAAACAATTTGCACAAATATACCATTTCCTACCATAATTTGTGTGTGTGTGTGTGTGCTTTTTTTAAATCATTATGTTCTAGTTAAACGGAACGTGATCATAACATGGCAAGTGTGACAAAATAATGCAATTTGTCATTACTGGATTTGCAGATGTACTCATTGGTCACGACATTAGCCTTTTTACCGAATAACCAAGCATTCAGTCGACTTTATGAAATATTGTTTTTTTTCACTCAAATTTGACTGCTGTTTGGTGCCGTAAGGGGGCAGTAGAGTGCCATCTTTAAGCCCCACTCTCAAAACACGTTGATGTTGTTGTGGAGGAGTTACTCACCTGTGTGTGAACCACAGCGTGCTGAGCACCCCTCTCCTCCCTCACCCTTTAGAATGGAGAGAGTACGCTGCATTCGACTTGGCGTGTGTGTGTGTGTGTGTGTGTGTGTGTGTGTGTGTGTGTGTGTGTGTGCGCGCACGCGTGTGCAAGGAAGTGAAACATCTTCCTTCTGTCAAACACTTAATGCCTCTTTCTCTGTCCTTCCACCTTTTCCACCAACATTAAAAACATAATTTAGCACGTTTAAATATTAGTGGACCTACCTGTGACTTTGAGAATTTGCCCTTCCACACGCACGCTACCATGGTATATTTGGACCTCCCCGCTGTGATGCTTGTGCTTCCATCCATCATCATTAGGAGCTCACAGCACAGGACTATGTTAACGTACGCACCCGTAAAGCAGATGGGTCATTAGTCACAGTGGGGACACACAGGACAAAACACCTTTCTACCTTAGCTGTCCCACTGAAGCTCATTAAATCATCTTTCGGACATGCTGCACTTTGAAATGTGCACGTCGCTCTGTTGCAACGTCCAACTGAAATAGAACCCAAACCTTCTGTTCATTGTGAACATCATCATTATGATGATGATGATGATGATTATGAGAATCGTCGTTATCACCATCATTATCATTTTCCACATTATCATGTGACATTTAAAACCCCTTGAAAATTGGTGCAATAGAGGGGCAACACTCCTGATTCACACTATTGCGACTAATATGATTACTAAAAAAATAAATAAATAAAATTACAACACAGTATCGAAATGTAACTTGGGTGACTATTTTACAAGGGGAAGTATATCATGAAAACTAATTTTAAGAATTCGATATCGGTACTCAGTGCCAATGAGTGTTTAAACAGTGAATATTCAAACTGGTACCGGTCTGCAAAAAAAAAAGGTATCAAACTGTCCTAGTTTTGAATTTTGAGCATAGTGAGGGAATGAATTCAACTTGTAAGCCAAGGAACCACTGAAGTTTTATGTCCAAATACACATAAAGAAAGGCAGTTTCAGTACTTACACAAATACAGACTTCATTTCGACACGCTTAGTGTCACACATCCCATAATGCATCACTGCATGCAGCTGTCAGCAGACATTGTCTCGAAATTGACTTGCCAACTTCACATTGTCAGTTTCAAATGCAGAGCTTCTGTTAAAAATAGTCAGCCTTGAGTTGTTTTGTTTGGTTTCAGGATTATATATATTTTTATAAATATATTTATCACTTTGCCACACACCATGTTGTTTCGCACACTTCCCTTAATAACAATTTTTTTTTTCTTTTTGCCGAGGACTGCGGGGTGCGAACACAGCCCCTGGATTTTTGTCAATCGTAAAAGCATGAGCAACAAAAGGTGTTGCACATAAAGCCATCAAAAGAAGTGTCCCCTGCCCTGTGTGAGTGTCGGGCTAGAAAATGGCTTTTTCTCTTGTACATGGGAAGTATTATACTCAGACAATAACAACCTTGTTCACGGCAAGCACGCACACATGCACACGCGCAGTGAAGTCCTGAATGAAAATTGATCTTGCCCAAGATTTTTGCCGAAACTCACGAATATCCAGCCCATTTTATGTCCGGTTTCTGTCATTTTTTTTTATGGAAAAAAATAATCCTTTTGGATGTGCCATGGTTGTTGTCCACTCTCATTTTGACTGTGAAAATTGCAGAACAAACAATGAATGAATGGCCTTTTTGCGGGGTCTCAACTTGCCCAGAATTTTTGCAAGCTTGAAAATGTACAATTTGTACCTTTAGGGCACTAGTGTCAAACTCAAGGCCTGGGGGCCAGATCTGGCCCGCCACATCATTTTATGTGGCCCGCGAAAGCAGCTCAAACATGTCAACTTCCATGATCCTTTCTAAAATGTCTACCAACATTTTACATTCTCATATGTAATAAATCAGATATATATTCAAAACATTTTCTTGTTACCAAACCCCTCATGATAGTAGCTTAAAAATAGTTGAATCAACAGTTATTCTTGAATTCTTTATATGGTTTCAGTCATAACAGCCCTCCAAGTGAAACAATAATTAAAATGTGGCCCGGGCCATAAATGAGTCTGACACCCCTGCTTTAGGGGTACACAACAGGACTCCTCTGACACTCACTCAACAGCACCCCCTGCAATGATAGGAAACAAATTACCCCTGACACCATTTTCACCGATTAGCCCAAAATTGGGTGGACGTCTCATAACAGGACACATGAAAAATTTAACAAATGAGCCCCAATCAGAAGCAGTCACACTCAACCAGTGATACTCAACCACTGTGACATGACATATTAGTTTCCTGTGATGATTTTTTTTTTTAATTTATTTACCACAAATAATGTTTTTTATTAATAAACCATCTTTGCTCATCTATCTATGCCAGCAATGTATAGTGATAGGCAGAACAATTAAATGCTCTTCCACTAATGGCAAAGGTGTTGAAGCAAGTCTTTCTTCAATTCCTGTGAGGTCCAGGTTTCACGAGTACGTACATTTAGATGACATCATCGGATTTTTTTCAATACACTTTGTAATGTGTGCCTCGACTATATATAAAAGTTGGGAGGCACTGTCCAGAGAGATGGGCAATAATAATATTATATCAAGCATTTTGTGCCTGTACTGTCTAACTGGTAATCATTTGGAAGATTGGCCATTAGAGATGGGCAATAATAATATTATATCAAGCATTTTTTGCCTGTACTGTCAAACTGATAATCATTTGGAAGATTGGCCATTAAAAAAAAAGGGGGTGCGAGGACCCGTTCATCCCTGCTTGCAGCTTTAATTTGTCTTAACTCGTCTTTGTACAGGGCATTCCTGGTCCTGGCCACTATGACATCACAGGACAGTTTGAGAGGCTCTGTGACAAAAAGCAGCAGGTCACCGCTGCCTTTCTTTCTCAGACTGAGGTACAATGCAAACACCACTCACCCGCCACTTTGCCAGTTTTACAATACAATATTGACTAGCAGAGGCAGCAATGTTGAATCGACATAATTGCTCGTATTCTTGTCATATCACATGTTTGCCTGGCTACTCATTGAGCTCAATCGTAACTGTCCCATAGGTCACTGTGATAGGCCAATATTTTTCGCAGACAGGTTAAAATAACAAACCAGGCTCTGAAGAAGCACAAACAGCAGAACAGAAAGCAGGAGCAGCAAGTCAGGGAATGCCAGAACAAGACTGGAACAATTAACAAATAGTCAAGTAAAGGAAGACATGTCAGAAAGCAGGAAGAGCGATTTAAGAACAGGATAAGAAAATCGGGGAAAGTAAAAACAACACAGAAATGGAGATAGAAAATAAGAACAGGTTAGACACTGGAACATTAAGACATGGAACGGGAATAGCAAATCAGGAACAAGAACAGCAAGCGGATGAGGAACTTTAATCCAAGTGAAGTAGGAAGTAGGAAATTTTATTTAATTTTGCCTTGCTTTGCCACATAGAATGTACAGTATGCACTTGACGGATAATCATAAAGTGTCATACCATGTAGTACAACATGTGCTCTTCATAAACAAAGATAGATTTTGCTGCGATGGCAGCCCACACCGGAGTCGTCCCATTAAGTAGCACAGTGCATTCATTTCACTTTGTCACTTAGTATTTGACTGGTACAATTCCAACAGGATGACACACAATATGGCTTCATTGTGCCCGTAGGATGAAAACAAACTATTGATTCCATTGGCCCAGATAAGCAAATTAGGATCCATTTGGATGCATTTAGGGACATTACTCCGCATAGTGCCAACACTGAAAATATTTCCCGGATATAATCTGGGAGATAAATGCAGTCAATTAGCGACTTCTCATAGGAGAACGCTGTTCCGTACGTGTCCCAGATCCTGACGCTGAGCTCCTTTTTTCAGTGCGATTCTCAGAGATGAGGTGAACATGAGTTTATTAGCACGTTCAAAAGCAGGCGGGTTTTGAAACGCACATTCAAGTGCTTATTTGAATGACTGCCAAACAAAAATTCATTGCTCTAAAATCCTGTATTTAGAGATTTTATGTAAGAGAAGATGAAGGGATGCCGCAGCAAAGTGGAGACTGTGGAGTCTAATAATACTACAGCGCCCACATGTCAAGAACAGGAACAGCAAGTCAGGGCAAAGAACAACATTTCCATTGACAAGGAGACACTGGGTCTGTATAAATTCCAATGTTGGTGACGAGTAGATGCCATACAGTGGAAAAGGAGAATAAGGTCAATTTCTGCTGATTGGGTTGTCATCAAATTTTCACCGTTTGCCATCACTGGCACAAAAGCGCAATTGTGCATCTATGGAAGGCAGAGTTTCCGACCTAATTTCCCTGACCACATGCTGTGCGCAAGTGTGTGTGTGTGTGTGTGTGTGTGTGTGTGTGTGTGTGTGTGTGTGTGTGTGTGGGTGGGTGAGTGAGGGCAG